AAAACAAACACAACACCAGCTAAAGGCTAAAATAAACACAACACCAGCTAAGGCTAAAAACAAACACAACACCAGCTAAAGGCGAAAATAAAAACAACACCAGCTAAAGGCTAAAAACAAACACAGCACCAGCTAAAGGCTAAAACAAACACAACACCAGCTAAAGGCTAAAATAAACACAACACCAGCTAAGGCTAAAAACAAACACAACACCAGCTAAAGGCTAAAATAAATACAACACCAGCTAAAGGCTAAAATAAACACAACACCAGCTAAAGGCTAAAAACAAACACAACACCAGCTAAAGGCTAAAACAAACACAACACCAGCTAAAGGCTAAAACAAACACAACACCAGCTAAAGGCTAAAACAAACACAACACCAGCTAAAGGCTAAAATAAACACAACACCAGCTAAAGGCTAATACAAACACAACACCAGCTCATACAGATTTTAGAAACAAATTTGTAACTACATGTAGCAAAGCTACGAGTAACAAAACACTTGCTGAAAGTAGCAAAAGGTTAGCCAAAAGCATCAAAATATTAGCAAAAAATAATGCAATAAATTGTTAATGATTAGCTAAGGGCTAGCAAAAAGCAACACAAGGCTACCTGAAACAATTACCACAATTGATGAGAATTAGAAAGAAAATGTTTGCTTTATGTAGCAAAGCTAACACAGTAAGAAAATACTTGCTTAAAGCAGCAAATGAGAGCTAAAAGCATTAAAAGGATAGCTAATGACTAAAAGGCAAGCCAGGAGCAAATCACTACCTCAAAGCTCAAAGTAGCAAAAGGCTAGCTAAAACAGCAAACCAATGACTTTAAGCTAAAAGTAGCAAAAGGCAGAGTAAAATGATTAAAAGCATAAAACAAGCTTAAAAACACAAGCTAAGTGTTTGATTACTAATGTTCAGCTGCATATTCCTGATGACGTCACTCTCAGTAGAAACCCCTCCTCACAGCTAAATAGTAAAAAAATGAAAAAGTTAAAAAAATAAAAAATGAAAAACAGCTAAATAGYAGCTAAAGCAGCTCTCCCCACTCCCCGCGGGGTTCTTCGTGTCCAGGAGTCACCTGAAGGTTCTGACAGKCAGAACCAGCAGGTCCAACATTACGTCCATTTTCTAACTTTTAAAACTTTCTTTCATCATAAAGTTTGGTCCCGACGGCAGCCTGGGTCGGAACCGAACGTCCCGGACCAGAAAACCCAGAACCGGTAACTTCGGTTCGGATCCGCAGAACAGAAGGTAAAAAACTGGAGACTTACCTGTCGGAAGATCCTCCCGCTGCCATCCGGTTCTGATCCAACACACCGTTTACCGTCAAGAACCCATACCGAGCCGTCCGAGCTCCGACAGGACCAGAACCGACAGGAGGCAGGAGCTGAGGGTGGAGGGAGAGACCCCCACCACCGAGGAGGAGGAGGGAGGAGGGGCTGTGTGTGTGTGTGTGTGTGTGTGTGTGTGTGTGTGTGTGTGTGTGTGTGTG